AATCCATGAGTTTGGACTTTGTGTTTGGCCTGCCGAAAGATTCGGCGGGCAACACGGGGTCGTGGTATCCGTCGACCGGTTTAGCAAGATGGCTCATTCGGCGGCGGTACAAGACACCATCGACGGAGTTGGTACAGCAATGCTGTTTGTAGATCGTGTTTTCCGACACCACGGACTTCCTGAGTCGATTGTCTCTGATAGAGACCCCCGTTTCACGGGAAAATTCTGGTCCAGTATCCTCAAGGTGCTAGGCACCAAGTTGGATATGTCGACAGCGGACCAACCGCAGACCGATGGTCAAACCGAAAGGGTGAACCACGTCATCGAAGACATTATTCGCAGCGTATGCGCTGAGACACCGAGGCGCTGGAGCGCCATGTTGCCGCTCGTAGAGTTTGCACTTAACAATGCAGTGCATTCTTCTACCAGCTATTCGCCATTCTACGTGAACGGGATGGTTCACCCTCGCGTCCCACTGACGCCGTCATCACATGGCTCAGGGCTTGGTGGGGGAGGAATATCCGAACGGCTTGCTGATGTCAGCCCCCTCGCCATCCGCAAAGAAGTCGATGTCTTCTTGTCTCCTGGACTGAGGTACCTACGACACGTTCGCGATGCGATGGCTGAAAGTCAAGAACTGCAGTAGAATATGCAGATGAAAAAGGAAGAGGCGAAGTGGAAAGCTTAAAGGTCGAAAACCTGGTTCTATTAAATTCTAAAACCTGCCTACACATGCAGCCTCTGCTATCTTCAGGACGAAGCTTTGTCCACGATTCATTGGACCGTTTAAGGTTTTGGTCAAGCGGGGCCTGGCGTATACGCTGAACCTTCCAAAACGGATGCGCACCCACCCAATGTTTTACGTGGGCTTGCTAAAGCCGTAACGGGATCCGGCGCAAGTGAACGCGAAAGTGCTGGCGCTGGAGTGGATCCTACGGGCCCTCGGCAACCCAGAAGCTGAAGCAGCAACTGGTTCTGAGCACGGAGTGCAACAACCTCCATTTATAATGGCGCCAAGCGCTCCACCGTCGGATGCAGCGACGCATTCGCCTGCTCCACGGCTAGGATATGATCCGACAGAGCGCGGTAGTCCTCAAGGTGAGGCAGCCGGCGCACGACGTGTTTAAATCGTCAAGAGCGTCCACAGCGATATACTACTTCAGCATGACGCTCAGTGGAGCTCCGATCACGTCGGACCTCGTCTACAAAGGCTCAGAGAGCATCACA